TTCTTTTTTTCTTTTTCTTTCTTTATGGAGGGACTAGGGATGGAACCCAGGACCTTGTGCATGCTAAGCACGCACCTACCACTGAGCTATTCCCTCCCCTGAAATCACGTTTTCTACCTTGTGCAGGTGACTTCCTGCAGAAGCTTCTGGAAAGAGAGAACAGAAGTTTTATTCCATACAGTAAAATGACTTCATGAAGACATAACCTTAACATCTTGCTTACTAAGTGTGTGTGTGTGTGTGTGTGTGTGTGTGTGTATACATATACACACCACCTTCCACCCTGCCCCAATCTGGCCCTTCACAGATGCCTCCTTTTTGAATCTTGTAACAACTTTCCAAGGGAGAGAAGGGGTTTTCCCCCAATCTTACAGACAAGAAGATAGAGGCCAAAGAAATGAAAGGATTTCCCATGGTGGCATGGAACGGGACACAGCCGAGACTTAAAGCTGTCTGAAGTCAAGGTCAGCTTTTATTGGTCATCCAGCCCCTGCAGGGTCTCAACAGCGCCATGGGCCACCTGGTTACGTACCAAATTCCCTCATCAGTAGAGAACTATCACCTTCTTAAAAACTTGGAAACTGACACTTCAAAAAGCAAATATATTTCCAAACTTTGGGTTAATGATAAAGCTGAGAGAACGCAAAAGACTCCCCGTTCCCTTTCCTCCTTTATCAAAATGTGACTTAGATTTGGGTGCCAAGTCAAATTTCTCCAGTGCGATATCCTTCACGGTAACTTATTAAAGGGCCGATCAAAGTTTGCTTTAAGAGGAAAGTAAATACACCCAACTTTCCCAACCACGCCGGACCCTGAGTCCACTTCCTGGTTCCACTGCTGACTCAGGCCATAATCGGAGATAAGTACCCACACACCCACTGCCCGGCGAGCGGGGAGCCCCAGCACCCACGTGCCCCCAGGATGCTGGAGATGGAATCACTGTCCCGGGGGGAGCCAGACCAAAGGTGATGCCAAGGGCGCCAGGCTCCGCGCAGGGAGCTCCTGCTTGTCCTCGTGTGTCTCGTGGGGAGGAGAGGAGTCACTTGTTCATCACATCGCCTGTAAAACCCTGCCGTCCTTTGACTCTGAACTTGCCCATAATCATTGGAAGTAAGGAGGGAAGGGCTGCACTTTTGGACTCAGATGGCAGAGAGGATAAGAACAAAGTTGACAAAGGGTCAGCTCTGATCACATGGTGAACACTTGCAAGGAAACAAATAAAAATAGCCAGAAGTGGGTCAGCACTGACGCTGAGGTTAGAGACCGGATATTGGGGCAGAGGTCTGGGGACAGGGATACCAGTTTTATTTTATGAATACAAATTCAGACTGTCTTTCTCGTCTGCTTCCCTGTCCCCTCTCCCCTTTTTTTCCCCTCCTCTCTGTCTTTTGGATACACAGGAAACACACATACACACAGAGCCAAAAAGCACAGTGTGATATTGAATCCTGGATCCATCTTCTCAATTCCAAAACTTCTTTTTCCTGAAGCTGAAGGGAAAAAAAATAGATACTTACAAAGAACTCACTTGAGAGGCAGGCAGGAAAGAGAAACATCACAGACACTTTACGTGTCTCGAAGGGTCTGCAACCTTAGTGCCTGTTGCTGATGGGGGAGAGGGCAGCAAACCAGAAGAAAAGCACTTCGGACCGAAGAGATGGACCTGTCCCCAAGCAGGGCCACACACACCAGCCTCCTTCCATCCCTGCCACCGGGGATCAGTGACATTCTTGTGTCGCCCACACGGTAGACATGCACATGCAAGCGCGTATACACACACAATTCCCACGCACACCCACACATGTGCCTAGTGCTACACAAATACACACATAGTATAGACACATGGCACCCATGCGCACACACAGCAGACATGCACACGCAGGCCCCATACACATGGGCATCACCAGAAACTCGTTCTCACTCTCACTGGAACCTTAAGATTTTGGCAGTTCATGTGGGCTTCCACGCTTGGCAGGATCACATTTCCGTGTGACGTGATTGGGGCAGATTTATTGGGCTTACCAGAGGGAGAGGGAGAGAGAGAGAGAGCAGAAAATTCTGATGCCCAAAGATCCCAGGCTGACCATCAGGGCCAAGACGAAGAAATCAGCAGAATGGGTTCATCTGGTGAGAATCAGCATGCTTGACTGGTACTCTGCTGGAACACTGACGCATACTTGTCTTCCAGATGTTACCGCCTTCAAATTCATTGAAAAGTAAAAGGAATTTGGGGGCCGAGCCCCAAAACATAGATAATCCTATCTACGCACACAGGCATGCATATACACCTACATACATGCGCACCCAGCACCCACACTCCTCTGGGAAGAATTGGGGTGTGGAGGTGGGTTCCTCCACTTGACTCTCTCTCTCCCCTGCAGGCAAAGCACAAGAAGCAGCCCCCTAAAGGCAGGTTCATCCAGCCAAGCTGTCACCCACAAGCCCCTCCAAGACAGTCTGGGGAGCAGGCGCCCCATTCTGAAGTTTAGTTCACTTAGCAGAATGTTTCCAAGGCCAAGACAGCCCCACACATCTAGCCAACAGAACTTTCTGTGCGGCGGTCAGTTAGCTGTGTCGCACAGGCACGCCATCTGTTTTCATTTACTTCAGACCACGAGCCTGGGTCCTGGGAGCATTTGTCCAACTGAGCCTCCCCGTGGCTGCAAGAGGGTTAGGTTTCCAGAACGACAGAGAAATTACCTGGGCTTGAAATCCCCAGGAGGCCCTGGATAAGGAGCAGTTTCAGATTGGGTGTTTTGGTTTTGGTTTTTTTTTTAAATCATACAATTTTAAAAGATCTGCTTGTTATAAATCTGGCCTCAAATCAAACAGAGACCCACTAAGAAATCTGCAAGAATAGATGATTTTTTTAACTTGGGGTTTTCAGGGTGGGATTTTTGGGGAGTGGGCGGGAAGCTACCCAGTCAATAAACTCCTTAAGAGCCGGGCAAAATTCCCTTGTCAATTACCGTGTGTGTGTGTGTGCGCGCACGCGCGCGTGTGTAAATGACAGTCACATAAGAGAGGAAATGAAAAGGGAAATTTTTAGACTTCTCATCCGTCCAGAAAGCCCCAGGCCTGTTTCAGAACCCTGTCAGGGTAACTGTCGCCTGCGGTCACAGCACTGCAATCCCAGGAGACCTTGCGTCACCGGCCAACAGATCAATAAGGAAGTTCAATCACCAAACCACAAGGCAGCTTCTTTTCTAAACCCACAGGTTGCTTTAGAGGGTTTTTAAACAAGAAACTTTCCTGTTTTTGAAAGCTGTGAATCCACAGGTCTCACAGGTTACTCAAATTATCTTGTCGCTTGCAGCAACCACTGGCAGGAATTCCAAAACTGCCTACTCCAGCCCTCCCCTCCCCTCGCTCCACCAACATCCATTTACTCACCAGAACCCTCATTTACAGTATCGTGTTGCCAACTGCTGACACAGAAGAAAAACAGACTGGTTATACATTAAGCTTTACGGTTAAAGGATCTGTGCCAGACCCTATCCAAACGCCATTTATCCACTGGCCAGACTAGGCGAGATAACCAACCCAAAGAAAACTCAAAGGAAACCGTTGTGCGTTCAGATCAGCCCTCCTTAGTACAGCCACACTCTTATCATGAAAAGCCCTACATACGCGTGCAAAGGTAGTGTGCAAAATCATCACGGTTCCTGGGAGACTCACATTCATCATAGGATGATCGACACATCTATGGGGAAATGTTCAGTGTATCCCAAACCAACCAATGAGCCTGCCATCCAGGCGGCTGGGAAATAAATGTAGAAACGCTGGGAGCCGCGGGGGGTGGGGGCGGAGAGGGTGCCACGGGGCAGGGGTGAAAGATAAACCGGGATCTAAATCCTCCATGGTATGCAAGTCAGACTTGTTTTTCTCCTAAGCAAATAGCACAGTTCAGATTACAGCGTGCACTGTAGAACCATGAGCTAAATCCACAAGCGGACATCTCTCTTTCCTGCTCAGCACAGCAGCTCAAGAAAGAGATGCCAGACCCAACAAGCACACCTGATAGCCATCTCCTGGTTCAACTTCCACCCTGGCTGGGGGCCACCTGGCGTTGCTCAGGCAATGCCTGCAGAGCACACCCTGAGCTCCCTTGCTGGAAATGTCCACCCTCAGAGCGTGGACCTGAAGTCACCAGAGGGCTTCTGGGGAAGGTGGTGCGGGTTCTCCTGGAACTGCCCCATCAAAGAGAGGATGAACCAGGAAAACTCGAATCTGCAGCTGCAAACGGTGACCTCTGAGCTAACTTCACAGAATGCACATGGCATGAATGCACCTAGCAGACACTTACCTAATCTCACACTTTTCTTTCTTTTGGGTTAGAATCAACACTTAGCTCATCAAACACACATACACACACACACACACACACACACACACACACACATACCACCCGTTCCAGAAAGAACCTGCTCTTGGTTTGAGCATGCTAGTAGTTTTTTTGTTTCTTTTTCCCCTTTTTTTTAATTGAAGTATAGTTGATTTACAATGTTGTGTTACTTTCAGGTGTATAGCATAGTGATTCAGATATACATACTCCTTTTTGTATTCTTTTTCATTACAGGTTATTACAAGCTATTGAATGCAGTTCCCTGTGCTATACAGTAGGACCTTGTTTTTTTATCTATTTTTTTATAGTACTTTGTATCTGCTAACCCCAGACTCCCAATTTATCCCTCCCCTCCTTCCCCTTTGGTAACCATTAAGTTTGTTTTCCATGTCTGAGTCTCTGGTGTTTCTTCATCTCATTTTGTTTTTATGCATCCTGATACATCTGTTAGCACCAAAACATTGGGATAGAGGGCAGAAGGCCACTCTGCTGTGATTTTTATGTTTGAAGGAGGATTCTTTCAAAATCTTTAAAACTCTCTTAGGAAATGTTGAGTGCGAAGTATCAGAAGTAAATCTCTTGGAGGGAGGGTAGAGCTCAGCGGTAGAGTGTGTGTTTAGCACACACCGGGTCCTGGGTTCCATCCTCAGTCCCTCCATTAAAAATAAATTAAATAAATAAACCTAATTACCTCCCCCTGCACCAAAAAAAAAAAAAAAAAGAAGAAGAAGAAGAAGAAGAAGTAAATCTCTCAACGATTACGATGGGTCTACGGTGGCACAGGACAATGCCTCCCCAGGCGAAAAGACAATAAAGTAAAAGAATTCTGGGGGACTCCAGACTTCCCACACAGAGGCCAAGTAGGGATTTTTAACTGTAATTCTCGTTGGCAAATAATTCTTCTACGTCGGTACAGAAAGCATCCTATTCTTCAAAAGTGTTTTAAGACTAATAGCTTTCTCTTTCCTCCTCTGGAAAAGCCATTGCTACAGAATTAACATAAATGTTGAACAGTTAATGATCCTTTCAGACAGTGGTGGTCTGGGGCCCTTGGGCCTGAACCACCTTGCCTGGCTTAGGCGGAGCGCTGCCCGAAGGTCACCCAGCCGCCCTCCCACTTCGGCTGTGCAGGCCGTGGCTCCGTGTCCTCTCTCCGGGGGAGAAACATTGCCCAAAGAGGAAAATGTTGCCTCTCCTCTTTTACATCACCACTGACACCCTAGCCCTGGGCCTGTGCCACTAGGCTTGCCTCCAGGACTGAGTGTTCCCTGCTATCCTGGGCCTTCCAGCTCGGATGCCAAAGAGGGCACTAGGTAATGGGTATTTTTGACGAAGGACACCACAGGAGGTCTGCCCACTACTTTGGGGAGTTCTCCATTCAGGGTCATCACCAACCCCGTCCACTCGGACCAACTAGAGGAAAAGAACCTATCTGAGCAAACGTAAGAAGACGTCACCTTGTATGTGTGTCTGTCAGAAGTTCCTCATAATAGAGAGTGTTCACTCAATTCATCTATTTTCAATAACAAAATATCCTGAAAAGAATTCAGTCAGTACAAGTCTGGGATGGTCACAGAGGTGGCCTAGAAGAACAGCTGTATTTTTTTTAACTCAAAGAAATTTTAAAGTTTCTGTAGTTATTCTCGAAAGTATGCTCTCCGATTGCAAGTATTAGATAACGTAAGTCAATCTTTGAAAGCTCACTTTTTAAAAAAATTTTATTATGAAATTTTTTAAATAGAGCAAAAGAAGAGCGTACAATAAAATGAAGTTCCATATATTCATCTCCCAGATTAATCAACATGCAGGTTTTTCCACATTTGCTTCACTAATCCTTTTTTTGTCCTCTATCTTCTTCTCTTTGCTGAGGTATCGCAAACAAAATCCCAGACCTCACGTCATGTCGCCCCTTCATACTTGAGTATGCATTATTAAAATGCACGAACACTTCCTCACACAGCCACAAGATCCCTTTTAAAAGCAGTACAAGATGAAGTTAGCTTTATGGGGATCACAAATGGTGCATGCATATTGAGCCCACCATACAAACGCAAAAACCATTGGGCAGAAGCAAGGTGACCTGTTCTGGAAGATGGAGTAAGGTCACTCCAAAGGGGGCTCGAGTGATGACAAAGGGTCTGAATAATGAGTTTTTTAAAACACTCTAAATAACTATACTTATGCATATAATTTTAAACATGCATGTAATTAAATCAATAAATTAAATTTTATAACTAGAAATTTGACTATTTCACTTGCATCATTAAAAGTGTGCATATTCTGTGGGGGTTATAGTTCAGTGGAAGAGCACGTGCTTAGCATGCACAATGTCCTGGGTTCGATTCCTAGTATCTCCATTAAAAAAATAGGTGAACCTAATTACCACCCTCCTCTAGAAAAAAAAAAGCGTGCATATTCAAGCTAGCCAAGAAAAAAAGCACACACACACACAAGACTTTTGTAACTTGCTCGTTGGGAAATGGGACATTGCCTCATATTTGGAGTTGCATATATGGTATCGTCAGCCCACTGCCTGCCAGCCTTGCCAAGACTGCCCATCCTAACAAGAGCATTTCTCCTTGTGTCTACTAGACTCCAAGCACTATGCCCAGCCTGAATACACAGGTCCCTTATGTGTGTGCAAGCCCTCCGAGGGCCTCCTGCAAGCCTCTCGTTTCCACAGGGAAGAAAACGGAAGCTTCAAGAAAGTGAGTTATTCTCCCTGGGAAGTAAGATGGAACGAGGTCTGACTTCATCGTTCTCCACTGCTGCCTCTGCAAGCTCTTTCTTCCCTCCCTTCCCCACTTTAGATCTGCCCTGATCCCCTCCCCAATACCAAGGCCCCTGCAGCATACTCAAATGCAGGGGAACTGAACGCAGGCTGGGAGGAGGGGTGCGTGATTCACAGCACGGCTATCGCACCCTTTTGTTGTCGCCGAATTATTGTTTCTGGCTATCATAGGTGACAAACAATAGATGATACCCCCAAATGGTCTTGCTGATTCCGCTAAGGCGACAAAATCGGCCGCGGCACTTACAGAAAGGTTTGCCTGGCTGGATGGGCAGCTGGATGGTCTCAAGCTCCAATCATCCTCATTCTGTGCCCTCGCTGCTTTTGCCCATTTGATAAGACATCTTCCCATCCAGAGCCCCAACTACACTTGATAGTCCTCTGCCAGCTCCTCTGGTGCGAACTCACCGTAAAAGGAGGAGAGGAAACACCCCAGTGGCAGCGGGTTTGTGCTGCACATAAATGTAAAACATAACCCCAGGGATCTTTGCTCAGCATCACTCCCTAACTGTGGGGTGATCCCCAGGCAAGTCATTTAACCTTTCTTTATTGCAGTTTCTTTACCATTAAAATGCAATATTTGGGGACCATGGCTGAAAGGGCCAAATAATATTATCCAATTCAGGTGGAAAGCACTGGATAAATGCTACAGAGGCTAGGACTTAAATAGTCACATATGGTTTCACGAAAAGCACTCCAGTGCATTGGCTAAAAAAAAACAAAACGCGGGAGCGAACAGATCTGGCTGGAAATGAACTGCAAATTGATAAACATTCAGTTGCTAATGCCGTGTTTATTATTTTTCACTAGGATAAAAATTAACTTGTGCGGCCTTGGCCAGAAAACAGATTGAACTCTACCATCTGGGGAGTGGAAACGGTATTTCTTTAGCCTCGGGTGACACACAGGTTACCGCGGCCAGCTCGGATTTTATTTGTAAATAGGCCCTGGGTGTCCAGACAACAGAACGAGGGGGAGGTTTCTGGGAAGCACAGTCTAACGAGCCCGCGTCCCACAAGGGCAGCTCTCTGGAGGGAGCTTAGGAAACAGCCGCCCCCCATCATCCTCGGTGTCCCGCATTTCCCAAGAAAGAGGTTGCCACACGCGCAGGCGAATGGCAGCTACCCGGGAAGCCAGCGCGGCGGCCTCGGGGGAGGGCCGGGGGCGCACT